ATGTAAGGTAGAAAACATTTTGTGCCTGGGTTGTTGGACCGCCTAACGGAATTCACTTGCTCTGGGTGATGATTGTCCTTACGTAGCAATGGTAGTAGGCAGCGCTGTCACGTTGGGGTAGAACTCTCTCTCTCTCTCTCTCTGTCACCTGCTTGTTTCCGTTTGCTAGCTAGAGCCCAGCTTTCCTCTGGGTCAGTATCATAGTACAGCCTTGCCATAGCTTGTGAGTAAATGTGTATTTTCTAAGTGGGCTCGATTCAGGGGTTTGAATGAGAATTTGAAACTTGCTTCCCCTCAGCATGAATACAACTATGTGAATGGTGCGAGTCCTGTACTAAGGAGATGAGTTCCTGCTTCACTTTTTCCCCTTCATTGACAAACTTGCCAGGGGGCTTCCTTTTTTAGCTTCTTGCATCAGAACAGACTCCAGAAACTTTCTAGGAAACCTAGTTCTGAGGACAAGGTTCAAGGCTCAGGGACTGTGGCGTGTGGAAAAGGAGTTTCAGAACGCAGTACGGTGGCCAATAAATGCTGAACTGAAGTCACTTCTTGCTGGAAAAAAGGGTGATATTTCCCAGGTCTCATGCAGTTCTTCATTGTTACATCTTCTCCAGCTTTATATTCCATGTAATATTTGAAGTCCTGTGCAGCTTTTCAAAGACACTCGTTTAATTATACACATTGGTCTTAGTTTTACTGCATATTCCACAATTCAGTCTCTGGATTTCAGACTTAATGCCTGGTACCTTCTGTGCGATACACATGCCTCAGCCAATATTAGCGAGGGTTGTCACGCATATTTTGTTTGAGGCAGCTGTAAGCACATGGTGCTCTCCCAATCCTGCTTAAAGCATGCAGTTTTCCTGGAGTCGTCTTCCTTGTGATCTCGGACAGCCAGATAAGAGCATTCTTCCCAAAGATTTTCTGCTAGTCTTTGGGCAACATATACCTGCTGAAGTACCTCTGCTAGGAGGGAGAACCTACTGGGTAACTTTCTCCTGACTGGAAGGCAGGAGGCTTGCAAAGTTACACTACAGGAATGGCTAATCTTTATAATTCTGGAATCTGCATATCAAATGTTTCACATGACAGGAGGCAGAGTTCTGCAGTTTTATCTTGGAGAATCAAGTGACAGTGAATGTGGGTAGTGGTTTGCCAGAAAGTGATGAGTGGCTTTCTAGGGGTCTCATTATTCCATTTGGAGAGGGGCTGGGTCAACATGAAGCTAGAGTAAAAGTGATCCAGCCATGTCAGTCTCAGTAGCTTCCACTGGCTTTTGGCCTGCTGAAGGCAAGGGTCGAATGATGTGGCGGTCCCCATTTCAGCAGAGCCCTGCTGTTGGTGCATGATATAAACCTGGCACGGACTTCCAGGAGTCATAGGTTGGTACCTGACTGTGCCCCAGAGTGCTCCATATGCTTGCAGCTGTTCATCTTCCTCTCTGACTGGTCTCATGTTTGTCTCTTCTGGTCATGCTGCTTATTATATAAAGGTAGAGTGAAACAGAATTTATTCTGGACAGTTTCACCCTTTCCTTGGGATTCTAACCATGAGGCTCACCTGAGCCCTCCCAACAACAGTTCGCTGTCACTACTTTTGGAGCGTGCTAAGTTCTGTGCCCTGTCCTCCACATGAACTGCAGCAAAATATTCATATCATGGTTGAAAAGCTTTCTTCTATCTAGTAAAATCTAAAGTCACGAGGATTTGTTACCTATGACACCCAGAAAGTCTAGAAAGGCTTTCTGTTTAGGTGAATTTTTCAGTTTTTGATACAAATATAGAAGCTGTCTGCATTGTGTGGGCTCTGCTGCTTTCAGGTCTATGATTTTTTTTTATTTATTTATTTATTTTTTTGCCTACTAAACTGTACCTAGTTTTTTTCCAGCCCATCTAGCCTTTTGAAGAAGACAGGGCGGGTGTTCAGAAATAAGACTGATTTTCCTAAATGCCTGGGAGGCCAGTCCCACATAACATACATGACCTGTGTATGAAGGTGAGATGCATGAGCTAGGATGCACTGAGTGTATGTTGACTGACATTGTAAATTCCTGACTGTCTAGAAAACGCTATTCGGAGGACTTTATTCCAAAGAGAGGAAAACGTGTAAAGTATAACTTGCCTCTGCATCAGAAGGCTGTCTTCTCAGGTGTTTGGGGCATGTTGCTGGAGACAAGGTGTTGGCCAGTATTGTCATTTAGAACTAGACAAAATTACCGATTTCTTTCTTAGGGTAAGGAAATTCAGGCTTTGTAAAAGGGCGAGAAGAGGCTCTCTTAATTTCATTTGGTTTTTCCTGATTTCCTGGGGTGTAACTGCAGAATGTGCTTTGTGGCTGATCTAAAAGACTATGCACACTTGGAAGCTGTTCTAGAATAACACACTTCTGGAGGAAAGAAGCTGGTACATAAATGGAAAGATTTTTCTGTTCCTCTTGGCCTTCTTCCAGCATGTTTTCTGGACTAAAGTGGGTGGAGACAGTATTTTTTGTATGATTTTAATCTCATGACAGTGTATAGAAAGATCCTGAGCTGTTCATATGGTGGTTTGTAACACTATAATATCCTATCCTGGCAGACAGAAAAAGGACAAAAGGGTAGGATTTTTCTTTTAATCATCAGAACTTTTTTTTGAGGCGATAGAGTTACAGAGTAAAATGTTCCTCCTTCCTTGGTCCTTTACTGTTTGTCTGCTCTGTAACAGTAACCCACTTAAAATTGGTGCGGCTCTTTTTGAAGTTATTTTAAACCCTCAGCAGTGTATACAGATATTGTAACCTTGGATAAAAGCACCTCCCAGTCGTGGTTTCACTTTTGCCCTTTCAGGCATGTGGAAAGTGCCCCAGTACATTTCAAGGATTTCAAAACGAGAAACTTCTTAGATATGGGTTATGGTTTCAGAGCTTGATACAGTGTACATCGAGGGACTGGTTCTCTCTTTCTTCAGATATTTAACACTGATTAACGCTTTCTGTTGACTTAAAAGGGTGCATAGACTCTTTACCACTCATTGGAGAAAGTATTTGTTTGTGGTCTAACTTTATAGATTTGGAGCAGTTTGCAAACCCCATTTTTATTTGTACTGAAAAAAAAAAGTCCATGAAAATTGAGTCCTTTGGGGGTTAATTATGTTGGAATATATGCACTGGCAGTTTTGGAGAGAGCCTTCTCTTTCTACCTGGCTCCTTTCCCTATTTTTGTGTATGCTGAATAGTTTATTTGTCAGGTCTGAGTTTAAGGAGTGGTTTATCACTTCTAGTGATAGTTAAGATATACCTTGCTTTTAAACACAGTAAGTTGAGCTGCTGATCCATGTGATAATGTGGACAGCTCAGTAACACCTCCAGTAGTGCATAGTAGTAAGTTGTAATAAAAAATAGAGGTGGAGTGAATTAAGAGTTGGACAGAGGATTCTGCTGTCTGACTTGTATTGTGGTGGGGCTTTTTTGTCTAAATGCAGATGAATCGGTGATGTATCCTGAAAAATAATGAGATGTAGGTAAACCTCTTGTTTATAGTGTCCCATCAGCAACATATTTCCTGTATTTTACAGTAATAGCTGAAGTCTTTCAGAAAGTCAGGGCCCCACAAGACAATATAAATAGCTATCCTTGGACTGAATAGCTTGCAAAATGAAAGAAAAGGTACAACACAAGGGAAAAATGTACAAGATGACGAAGTAGTGATGGATAAGAGATGGCAGGATTAGTGTGTTACATGGTACTACCTTGCATGGAGGGGTGCGTGTGTGCAATTTTGCAGAAAACAAAACGGTCATATTGCTGATACTGGTTTGTCAGTTTGTGTGTGGGGGTGTTGTGGTTAGGGTGGTGTTTTTTTTTTTTTTTTTTTTTTTAAACCTGGTCTGGCAAAGGTGAGATTTAAGGAAAGACATCAAGCTGGGTGAGGTACAGGCTTTTTCTCTTTTGCTGTGAACCTTGTATATATACACATACACGTACACGTGTGTGTATATATACATATATACACACTCGCGTGCACACACACACATATATGCATATGTATATATATATACACACACACACATGTATGTATGTATGTTACACCCTGGGCAACTCTGGCAAGAGTCTCTGAAATATCTTAGATTTTAGCTGAGAAAAGAAGAGAACAAGCAAAGCATAGTAAATGGTGTAAGAAGTTAAATGTTTGATATCTTCTTGTATAAAGTAGGGTATTATGCTAATAAAGGATAGCAAGCTTGGAACAGATGAAGGAAGTTTGAAAAATCCATGTATAGGAAGCTCCTTGCCATAATAAAACTAGAGACTAATTACATAGCATTGGAAGGAGGGAGGAGGAGGAAGAGATTGAATGTCTGAAAGTCACACAAATTTGTGTTGTTGCCCTGTGTAAGAAACATAAATATTTCTGTTTCATAAATAAAGGGAACCTAAAGCCTCTTGCTTCATGTTACCTCTCACTCATTATTTGGGTTCAGAAGAAGGTAGAGACTATTTCACAATAGTTAGGCAGTTTCTTGTTCCTTACTTTGGATGGATGACAGGGATGTTCTAAGGGGTGACAGACAGTTAATATTGTGCAAATATTTAAAAAGACTGGTAACGCCTCTCAGACATTGGTTTTGGATCTTATATATTTAAAGCTTTTGTCAGTGACTCCACAAAAGAGTTTATATTATTTCTATCAGTTTGCAAGGAAAGGCCCAAGTGTAACGTTATATTTAATTCCTTTATGTCTGATAGGAGGATTTATGATCCAATTTAATTGGGAACCTTAAATGATTATTCATAAACAAGATGACAGTGAGTTCACATAACACTGCAAGATTTAGAACTGAGAACATACTTCAGAAACGTACTGAATTCTTAACAAATGCAGCCTTACAGTTCAGTTTTTCTGGTGTTGGTTGGTTTAAAAAAAAAAAGTGCATTTGTTATAAATGAAGGTATTCAAAAGAAAGCTACATGCATTTTGTGAATTCTACTGCTTTGCTAAAGGTTTCTTTCTGATTCTGTTTCAGATGCATCCACTTGGACTGTGTAATAGCAACGATGAAGAAGACCTATATGAATATGGCTGGGTAGGAGTGGTGAAACTGGAACAGCCAGAGTTGGAACCTAAACCATGTCTCACTGTATTAGGAAAGGTAAGAGGGTTATATGATTTGAATAATTTGGGGTAAACACTGCATGTAACCGTTTCTTGGAAGGATTAGTTCCTTTCTGAGAAATATCAGCAAAAAATAAAACAGGAGTAAAACCCTTATACTCCATGAAATATTTGCCTTTTGCTTGTTTTCACACTAGGTGCTTCAGGGAGAACTAATACCGTAAATCGATTGATAGAAATGGTGATGGCGAACTGAGCACGTAAATTCTCTTTTCAGTTCTGTAGGAGCCTAACAAAGATTTTGGCAAATAAGGCTGATAAGCAGAAGCAGTAATTGAGCAGAAATAGGATGGACTGCCAGCGCGGTGCTGATCTTGATCAAAGGAAACTTCTCATCAAAAGCAGTTAATATGAAAGCATTTTATTGTTTTTTTATCAGGTACAATGGTCTCAGAAGACATCTATTAATTTCTCTTTTTTTTTTTTTTTTTTTGGAGGACCCTAGAAGAGATTTCTTTGCTGTGACTATGTGATAGATATCACAGAATAAGAAGTGAATCTTGTCGTATTGGACAAAGAAATGCAAATTTTCATCTTGCTGGGGTCTCTGTGTGGAATAGGGCCCCTAGCATCTAAATTCCTTGCAAAACATTGCCTTTTGTGTTATGGGTTGAAGTCAGTAAAGATGTCGTTACCTCTGCCAGGTGTCTTAAAAAGGAAAGCAGAAAGCTGTCCTTTTTTTGTTCTCTGCTTAGAACTTTGAGGACTGAGGTTATTATATGTTGACGTTTGAGATCTGGAGTAGTGTGTTGTACATGAAAGAGCATAAGCCACAAGTTTTACCAGGAGCTGAGTAGGTGAAAAAATCCAGCTGGCCCAGGTTGCTCAGGCTTCAGTAGGGTGCTGTTGGTGACTTCAGGTGAGCAGTGAAAATGTACTGTATCAGGCAGAAGATAAAACCCTAGATTGAAGTTTTGTAGGTAAAAGTTGGCTTTGTGTATTTACAAACTATATAAAACTTCTGGAAAAAGGCATGTTGCGAGGGAATTGGGAAACCATCTGCTTATCTAAAATTTGCTGCAGGTTTAGCTTGGGATACCCAGTGAAAAATCTCTCTCTTAAGAAGTGACTGCCCTTCCTTTGCCAGTACAAAAACTATACTGTTTTTGTTTCACAGAAATACTAGGTGATGCTTCTTTGATCTTGGGAGCATAAAATTTGAGAATAAGGTCTGATGAGGATGGTATTTAGGGAAGACTAGGTACTGAAAGATGCATGGTAATCCGTAATCTCCAGGAGTGCTGTTGAGTCTTGGGGAAAACCATTTCAGGAAGGAATCTGTTCAGTCCCAGCTGTCAGGCTCTTGAAAAGCATTTGAGGAAGCAGGGATAAGAAACAGAGGAAGAAAAAGTGAAAACCAGGGATACCTTGCGCAGAGAATGTCATAAGTATTTTCTGAAATATTTGCTTGCCTGTCACCACGACATACCCAATTCCCCCTGCTATACTCCCCATGTCTCCACAGCCAAACTGACCTCCAAAATGACCGCCCCTCAGTATCTACTGATCCTCGCTTCTCAAAGCTTGGCATGCTGAACAGCAGATACTACCTTTGTGTTAGGAGCCCTGTAGCATCCACTTTGGAATGACAGGTGCATAACGGCTGTAGTGTGACTCCTGCATCCTCCATGTAGCGTGCCAGGAGAGTTTGGATGCTTCTCCAGTGTGTCAGTTGATGTGCAGTAGTAATTCAGTAGGTGAAAAAGGCTGGCAAGGTACTTCCCTTGGCAGTACTTTTTCTCAGTAACCATGATGCAGCTCCCCATCCTGTATTTCCATGTCACCACCTACCCTTCTCTTCCTGAAATATCTTTGTTCCCTATTTCCTGCTTGCTGTTGCAGCTTCTCTCCATCTTTTCACTCCAGCTCTTCTGCTCAGTCCTCCCAGTTCTCCCAATGCTCAAGTTTTGCCCTTATTTAGAGGGACTTCTCAAATTCCTTTGCAAATTGCTGAGCGCACAAAGCAGCAGGAACATCAGCCATGAGCTTCCTGCAGCTCTGTCAAGCAAGTCAGCCCTGGATATCTTAGCAGTGGGAACAAATTGCATTGTGATTGGCTAGGTCGCTGAAAAACTCAGTTTCCATGCAACTTGGTTCAAATGGCTACATGAGCAATCGGTTCAGCTGGTGAACTGTTTTGCCTGGCTAGTGCCATACCTGCTGCATGTGTATGTGGATCTTCTGGTTGTCCACAGGATTTGGTAACTGTTTGACTTAAAGAAATTGGAAAACAAAATTGTGTGTGTTGCATAGGGAAAGACCTAAAACAGGAGAGAGCAGGTGTTTTTTTCGATGGAGGGGAAAAAAGGAAAGAAACTTCTTATTCGATTTAAAAAAGAAGGGGAAAATCAAGCAGCCTACTAGTGTTTGGGTGTTTTTTTTTTTTTTTGTTGATCCTCGTTTACTTTGATTTATCCTGCCCCAAAAGCAGCTTTTCCTGCAGTATTGGATCTTACAGGCAGTTACTGCTTTTGCCTTTGAGTACAGTGATGGTATACTCTTGCTATTCTAAAGGTCTGCAAGGTAGGCCTGCCCAACTGCAACATCTCTCGCAGAGATAATTTGGGTATTGCAAGATGCAGAACTGATGACTCATTTAAAAATGTGTTGGTATAGGCACTGTTGCATTTCAGCTTTGCTGGCATTGCTGATATCCAGATATTGTGCAGGTGCGATAGATGGCAAAGCCACCCCTCAGTACACACAGATCTGCATTAATGACTCAGGTGGGTAAAGGTGAGACTTCCTCGAATGCAAATATCCTTAGTTCCTTAAAAGATGAAGTAGTGTGCATAAAACTGAGCATGTAGAGCTTTTGAACTGAGAAGCCACAGACATTCTGCTTTGTCTAGTGCAATCTGACTGTGATCAACAATACCTGCTGCTGAAAACAGATACATGTCCCTGCTGGAGTTCCCCTTTGTTTCTTACTGTTGGATTGGGGCTGGGATCCTCTAGTGTCTATTCTTTGGTCTTAATTCCCTCAGAAGCCCTTCTGTGAGATGAAAGCCATATCCTGTACGTGGGAAAAGTTGTGTTTGTATCAGTTTGATCTATTGATTTCATGATAGGAATGAAGTTGGTGCCGTGAAGGCGGGAGAAGTTAAGGACTTGCTTTCTTTTGAAACTGTCATGGGCATAATTGAATGTTTAAATACCTCAACAATTTATAGCAAAGTAAAAAGTTACCCAGGCAGAGCCAGGGTAGTGATCTATGTATACGCTACCTGATCCAACTTAAAGCAAATGTGGGCAGTTCTGTTTGATTTAGAGACTTTTCATTGAGAAAGCTAGTTTGAATGGCCTCATCGTTGCTGTGAGCTAAGAGCCTACACGTGGAGTTACCCTGGCTCAGCTGACAAAAACGCTCCGGCTCTCTCATGTGCATAAGGAATGGATATTCTTGTGAGTTTAAGCCTGTCTTAATTGGATCTGTTTACAAGTTCAGACTAACTCAAATCAGTTTTGCAATACCAACCATAAAAGAATGCGAAACTCCTATTAGTTTAAGGGAGCCAGTTTAGACCCGTTTCCTTAAAACTTGTGAAGTTTTGTGTTGAGTAACGTGCTAGTAGAAGCAAAAAGGTTATCGATTTTGTGCCTGTGTGGTGGAAGGCATGAAGGAATATATGAAGGAATAAATGACAAGTTGTTCTTTAAATTGCAATGGTAAAGGATGAAAACTGATGATGTGTTTAAGAGATTGTGGAAAGTTTGGAATGTGTTGAAGTAAAATGTAGAAAATATTTAAAAGCTGTTTGTAGTGCTGAATTCCATAAGGTACAAATCTGGTACAAAGATATACAGTGGTAGTGGTGGTTTTATTTTTAGTAAAACCATGGTCTGTGTTTCCAGTACCTTGATTCTAAGTGTTTATCCATCTGCCAAACAGGATCCGTAGACGTACAGAATTTAGTGCATCCATTTCCATATACATTTCTGAATTGCTCATTCTTTTTAGTTAGATTTATGTGGTATAATGGAAGTGAAGGCACAAGAGTTTAAAAAACAAAACAAAACTTCTATTAGACAGCCCGTGAAAACTGGACGCCGGTTGGGAAGGGGGTGTGCATGGCAGCCGTGATTTAACGTCGCCTTTGATCACGGCACAGCCCTGTTTGACGCAGTGCCGCATGCGAGCGAAGCAAAGGCCTGAGTTTTACTGATCTCATGAGCTCCTGAATAGGGCTTGAAGGGGAATGACAGAGGAAGAAGAAAGCCTTGGAAATGAAAAGGAAACCCTGTGAACCCAACCGGCATTATTGGCTGGATTTGCCTGCCAGGGAGCCGCTCGATTTCTGCCAGGCTAATTCTGCTCCGACTTCTCTCTCCCCCGCCCGACCCCGCCTCCCCCCTCTCTCTTTCCTCCTTTCAGACTTTTTTTGTTTTTGAGGCATGGCTGCAGCAGCCCGTTCTCAGGCTGGGAACCCACTGAGCCCGTTGCCATGGTCGCTGGGAAGCTCTTAGTGCGCGCAGTGTCCCCCCGCCCAGCTGTTTTTGAAGTAATGAGTTCTGTCAAGATGTGAAGTATGACCTGCTACTGGCCTTGCTTTTTGATTTTAGTACAAAACAGATACTGAAAAAATACTGCAGATTTCCTTAAAACTAGAATGTCTTCCCTGTTCTGCAGGCTAGAAAGCCCACACGGAAGGATTTTGTTCCTTGTTTCTTTTTCAAGGGACAGCTAAAGAAGAGCTTTTTGGTATTAATAGGATGTGTGAAATTGAAGACATGCATCTGAGTAGACCCTGACAAGGAGAGGATGTCCCTGCTACTACAGCTTCCTGTTTCCTTTGGATCAAAGGAATCTGTAAATATGAGGAAATTCCTACCAGCTCTTTCAGTATCCATTCACTTCTGTTCTCTGTTTTGAGAGTTTGTTTACAAAACATTTACACAAATATTGACTAGAAGAATCCCATTTGCTGCATCATCGCTATGGTTATACTGCTTAGGTTGGGGCCAAAATCATCATAA